CTCTGTTTCTTCTTTTAGTTATGTTTAGGAACTCTTTATTTGATATGATCCTATTTGTTGATTCTTGGTATTATCTTTGTATAGTTGGGATTCTGCTCAGAAAGCCGTTGTTTACACCTATCTTTTCAAGAGATTTATGTATTTTATCTTCTAGCCGATTAAGTGTTTTTGTTTTATCATTGAGATGTTCCATAAATTTTTATTTTAATTTAGTACATGAAGAGAGATGTCGGTCTAGATTTAATCTTCTGCATGGATCCTCTTCTATTCCAGTGATCCACATGTCTGTTTTGTTTTTTCCCAGATCACATTTTTTTTATCACTGTTTCTTTGTAGTATAACTTAAAGTGTGGGATTGTGGTGCTTTCTGCTTGTTAGTGTTGCCCAGGACTGCTTTTCTCTATTCTGTTTCTTTTCCAGTTGCATATGAATTTTTAAAGATGTTTTTGCTGATTCTGTGAAGAATACTATTGGTATTTTGATGGAGAGTACATTAAAACTGTATACCAACTTTGGGTATATGATCATTTAGACAAAATTTGTGCTTTCTAACTAGGAATAGAAGATGCATTTTCATTTTCTGATGGTTTCTTCAATATTCTTTCTCAAAGTATTGCACCGTAGTTTTCATCACATGGGTCTTCTACCTTTTGGTTGGCTTAATTCCTAAGAATTATATTTTTCTCAATTCTATTTTTTTTTTTTTTTTTTTTTTTTTTGGCTTTTCTCCGGTACCGGGAACTGAAGTCACGACCGTGCGCTTGCCAGGCAGGAGCTTTTGGCGCTGAGCTAAATCCCCAGCCCTCTCAATTCTATTTTGAATAGCGATGTTTCTTCTATTTTTTTTTTTCCAGGTGAGTTTATTGTTGGTATACAGGAACACAATTTTTGTGTGTTAATTTTGTATCCTGGTATGCTACTGAACTTAGTTATTAATTCAACAAGTATTTTGGTGAAATATTTTTGGTCTTCTGTGAAAAGGATCATGAAATTTACAAATAATGATGATTTGAGTTTTTTCTTTCCTACACATATTCCCTTTATTTCCTCCTTTTGTCTGATTACTCTGGTTAATGTTTCTATAATTATATTCAACAGACACATCTTGGGAGAAGTACAAATGGCCAACAAATATGTGAAAAAATGTTCATCATCTCTATCCATTAGATAAATGTGAACCAAATAGGAAGGAGAATGAGAGTTGAAAAGAGCAAGGAGGAATGGTATGGGAAGAGGACAAAAGCAATATTAAGATGTGCTATGTACACGTACAAACTCCCCACAATAAATGTAACCATGCACTGCAAACATGCACTAGAAAAACAGTACATTAATGAAAAGGAAAATGCTGAGATTCTATCTAACTCCAGAAAAAGTGGCTATTATCAAGAAATCAGATTATTACAAATACTGGAGAATGCTTTGAGGAAAAATTGATCCCTTTTTCATTTTTGGTGGAATATAATCTAATACAATCATTATTAAAATCAGTGTATAGATTCTTACTAGAAATTCCACTGGACCCAGATATTCCCATTCTAAAAAATTTCCCAAAAGAATAGTTAAAGCCCTCATATCACAGCAGTACATGCATACCTATAGTTATATCAGCACAATTCAGAATACCCAAATCTTGAAAGAGGTCTGTATGTTCTTCAACAGATGAATGGATAATGAAATATAGTATTTATACACAATAGAATACTACTCTGTAATAAATAAAGATAAACTTGAATCTTTTGTGGGAAAATGAGTGTACGTTGGGACAATCAAGTTAAGTGAAATAAATCAACACATAATTTAAATATGGTTTCTCTTACATGAAAAACCCAAAATATAAATAAAGAGCAAAATAAAAGATAGATAAAAAGAAGTAGCAAGATAGAAGTTTTACAGATGGGAAGGCGACCAAGAAGCAGGCAAAAGTGAGAGGAGAAGATCATGCAAAAAGAAGAAAGGTATGTTATCTACATGTACCAACTCCTCAGGAGGAACGTCCTCACTATGTACTATAAATATGTAATAATAAAAAATTGAGAAAAATTCCTTCAATAATTTCTGTTTCTTTTATTCATAGAGGGATCAGTTTATCCTCATTTGCTCGGGATTGTCTCTACTTTTAGCATCAAGTAGAGCAGGTAAACATATTATTCCAATGCTCATGAGCATAACACACTGGGGATTTGAGAGCAATTAATTCTGGAGTGTGCTTTTATCTGCTTCGTTATTGGTACATTTCACAATACTAAGAGTTTACATTGATTGCCCACCTGTAGCTTGACCTTTAGCTTTTTTCCTAGCATCTTGTTTATCTGCAATCCATTGAAAAAGAATGCTTTTATCCAAAGACAATAATATGCCTTGGAATTAATTTTATATTGCAACTCTCCTGGGCTTTTAATTTTTTTCTGTTATATTCCAAACAATATGTGAGCCATTCATAAATGAACTAATCCAAGATTTAACTATTTCTTTGTGGGTATCTTGAAAATTTTTCAATCCTATGCATTTTGATTGTTATTCTCCCAAACTGATGCATAATTACAGAAATTAGTACCTGGAATTTCTATTTGGCTTTAATTCTGTACATTTTTTCTCTCCGTGTGTCAAATCAAAATGTGTTTCCCTTTGACCTGTTCTGCTGTGACAGAAGTAAACAGTTCGGTCACTTTCCTGATTCGGTGGGAAATTTCATAACACTCCTCATTGTGACAACTTGCACAGGCAAGATTTTATACTTTCAGCAACCTATCAGATGTTCAAACCCTCCTACTCTCTATTTTTAGAGTAGAAGAGAATTTTGAGACGTCTTAAATCAGAAAATAAACTGCCTATTGGAATGGGATTGATAAAAGCTGAACAGAGTTCTTAATCTCACACAAACTACTGATAATAGAAACTTTTATTATTTAAAGCAAAATGGTTAGCAGAAAAATAAAATAGAACCGCATATGAAATGGCTCACAAGGAAAAAATTCTATTTTCTTTTCACATTATTCTGTTGCAATTGTGCAGTTTTACATGTCTTGAGTGAGGGTCGATGTTGTATAACAAGCTCATTCGTGGAGACAGAGGTGCTGCTGCCCTGAACAATTATCATCCAAGACCATGATTGCCTCTCCAACTGCCTTTGTCTGTAAATTACTGTTCTATAAGTTAGTGATCAAGCAAAAAGCACTCTCATCCTTTGTCATTCATCTCTGGATATGCCTGAAAAGTTCTGCTACTGTCATCCAAGGTCATCCATATGACTCCCTCATCTGTAGTCTCAGTTGAAGTTTCATTCACATTTCCTACTGAGTAGTTCAATGAGTTCAAAGATGGCCAATCATTTGTAATGGCTTTGCTCATGTGTCAGAAAGCTCAGATGGAATTGCTGGAACACTGAGGACTGCACATGAATTTCTTGCTCTCCACAGCTTCTCTCCAAAACTGTGGGTGAAACTCATTCTACATGGTGACTCACTGATCCATCAGAATCAAAACTGAGCAAGTAAGGACTTTTAAAATTTAGTCCTGGAAGTGGAACACACGACTTCAACTACATTTTATCTGCCCAAGCAACAAATATCCATGAGCGATTTTTATTCTGATGGACAGAGTGACAAAGAATGTGTGGGCAGATTCAAGTAGAAAATGCTGATGACAGAAAATCTTATTTGTTTTTATTAAACATGCAGAAACATGTAGTACAGATCAGTTCTATTCAATTTTTCTGTAAAATGCAAACATGGGCAAAAATTCTTTCCATTTTTGTGTATATATTATTTTGCATTGAAATTCGACAGCACTTCCTCAAAGCAGTCAAATATATTTCTGTATTCTGAGATGTTTTGTTACATAGTAAAAGCTAAATTACATACATTCAACTATGTAAAATTTAATTCCATCTAACTACAAATGAATCTATACTATGCACTTTAGCTGTGTGCCTAACATAAGAAGAAATCACATTTTAATAAAGTTAATAGTCTAGCACAAAGCAAACTAGTCTGTCAAATGTGCATTTGTACCTTACACCCCATTCACAAAATACGTTCTATTCCTTTCTCTAGTTCCTTCTTATTACTGAATTTATCTTCAAAGCTCAGAATTTCTGGGCTCTTTCCAAGTTACTTAGGTGTGTATTTTCATAGGCTGACTTACAAAGTAAAAAATATTAATGATCTATCCCTGTAACATCTCCATCTCCAATATATGATGTTGAAACAAGTGAATAATATACATAAAAATCATATTTGTAAAAAATGAAGCAAACTCACTTACTCGTCAAGTTGATATAATTCTAGCTAGATAACATTGTCTGACCTACAAACAGGGGAAATGTACTAAACCTTAGATCTTCTCTATGCATATGCTGTTCATTGTTGGTGTTTGGTGGCTGGATCTTGTCCATCATTTGTGAAATCACAGTTGAAGGGGTGATTTGGGAGTATACCACACTGCATGTTTAGCCCAGGTTTCCACAGAAACACATCTTTTGGAGTTAAGTTAATTTTTTTTCTTGGAAACCACTCCATATTTATGGTATGTTTTGCTTTCCTTCAGTTCCAGATACCAGTAATTTTCACTAAACTTATTTCCAGGGAAAAGTTTTCAAACGTATTTTATGGTGTCTCTTTGTCCTCCTCTCTTCCACTTTCATATGAATCAATTGAACTTGGAAATCACGTAAAACAATATAGTTGCACAGAAAATCTTTTACTCTGCAGTTTAGAGTAAAGAACATCGGGCTTTCCACTTTTGCACAGTTTTAAAATTATTGACTCTTATCTTCCTAGACCTCTTCACCTAGAACTGCAGTAATAATAGACTTTTTGTCTTTTAAGTTCTGGAAGTCACAATGTTACTATTTCAAGTGTTTCAATCAATGTGTGACATGGAAACATTTTCCAAACTCTGATACCAATTTTATAATTGCTCATTACAAGACAGTGAAGTCTGATTTCTATATTAATTAATGTAGGCTATGCAATAATACCAGTTACATTCATACTTACTTTGGATCTGTACAGAATAAATCCATTTCTCACTTAAGTTTCTTCACAGGTATTTAGAGGAGTGAAATAGTCTGTTCCAAGTGTTCAGAGACTGAGGTTGTAGAGGTAATCATTATATGATTTTCATATCCATGGATTTCTCCATCCACTTAGTAGAAAAAGAGATATAACATGGGAAAATTAGGAGAGGTCATATATTTGGGGGGAAGAGAGAGGAAGGTCAAGTATTCTCATCTTTTGTTTTCTTGGTACAAGGGAGATGGCCACAGGGAGTTTGGAAATAAAGTCAAGCTGTACATCCAGGAAAACGGAATGACAGAGCCGGAGCTGATGAATGCTTCCAGTCTAAGAGGTAGAGATCCTCGCCAATGAATAATAAATAGGTCAACATACTCAGTTTCCAAAAACAGTATTTAGATAGGGTTTGGAAGATTTTCAAGTCAGCTTTGGCATAAGCTTTTTTTTAAAAGTCTACTATTTCTTTGGCAAGCAAGAGTTTCTCCTTCTCCTTTCCTTCCTATCCTTGTACTTAAGGGTTATACATTTTTTGTGAAACTTTTAGTGCTGTCTTACACTAGGTCTTTGTTACACATAGAATCCATGACATGAGTTTTATACTGTGGATTTCAGGTATTTATTATATCTCCCTGCTTTCATGAAAGAGTGGTTGAAATGAGCTTATTGAAGCTGAAATGGCATCCGGAGATAGGAGATTAGGGTGTAGGAAAGCCGGCTGAGGATGTAGATGCAACCTGCTAATCACAAAATCCCAGAATGCATGCACAGAATAGTATCCAGAGCCCTGCATGGGGACTTCTCACAAGAATTTGAGGAGTTTTCAATAGGATGGTTTAGATCTGACATAATCAAAGGCCTGGGATCCCAGTACTGCCTCTCAGGAACCTCATGTAGGAGTTCCCTTAGGTTTCCTTGAGATTTGAACAGATAAACGATACAGACACCAAGAAGAGCTTGCAGTCATGGCTTTCCTCATGATAGCCCATCCTCATTCTCGAGGATGTTCTTTTTCCTCTTTTATGCAGCCCAGGCTCACCTTGGCCAGGCAGTTTCTCCCCCACTCTTCACTTTCTCAAATAAACTTTGGCACTGTTTTCTGCTTGTTTTGTTCAATTCTTTGTTTGAGTTGAGAAGAAGCTGGAATCGAACTCCAGAGGGAGAGACAAGCAACCCAGAAGCCAGTAACATTTAGTTGGAGAGGAACTTTTAGAAGCAGGCTACCTGGCAACAACCCTTCAACACTGTCTCCTTCATTTCTTGTGAAAACAGAGATGATTTTACAAAGCAGAAGCGCCAGCAATCCTGCTTCCACTCTGAGGAGCTATAGGCTCATGTATGCTGGAATATACTGCAGATGAGGAGTTATCTCAGACTACAAAATTAAGAATTGGCTGGAAAACCCTAAGAGGAGAGAAATAAGAGAGGTTAGTGTGGAACATCTAGGATAAGTCTGGCCCATAGATCTTCCACAATCCCACAATAACACTTTTGTGGCTGACAAATACCATTATTTAGGATAAATGGTGTAAATTATACGCACTTAGGTCAAATCTCTTCAGGTAGAGTGTAAAATGGAGTTAAATTCTAGAAAAATAAAGTATGAAAGCATGGGAATAGTAAAAATATTGTTTCAAAAAAGAAATTCAAAATGTTTTTTGTAATTTACTAAACGTTATGACTATAAATGTATTTGAAACTAATAGAAATAGAACAGAAACTGGTGAGTTCTGTGAATTCTATAGCGAAGGAGAGTCCAAGCTCGGCTGTTAGAAGAGGTGATTGCTTAACTCCTGAAATATCTCTAGACCTTGAAACATGAACAGAAAGTGACCTCATCAAACAAAGAGCACAATGGAAGAAAATAAATGTAACTATTCCAGTAAAAGTCTCAAGGAAAGGAGAACCATTGAGAATGTACTATCTTAATCCATTCAGAAATTCCAGGAAACCCAAACAAAAGTACTGCATTGAAAAATCAAAAATGAATAAATCATTACAGCCTAGTAGTATAATTTTACTTCATCCCTTCAGAGTATGATAACTAGGGCTCATTATGTTTCCAAATTGGTATTATTATATTTTTCCTCTGCTTTTTCTACGTGAATATACCAGACATTCTGGGCCATAGGCTATGAGCCTATGGTGAGCAAACCCTGGATTTTACAATGAGACCTGTATGTTAATTAATGGCCCTAAGTAGAAAATCAAGTGCAGTAATATACAAAAATTCACCTTACTTTTAGCAGTTAAATATGTGGAGTGGGACCTAAATTCATATTTAAGGGATGCTTGTCTCTTAGTAGGATTTGTTCAGGTTCTCCAGCCACATAGTACAATTGAGCTTCTATTAAAACATTACTAATTGGAATAGTCTAAAACTCCATTACTGATTATCAACCCACTTCAATTTATAGAATTTAATTTTGCTGGATTTGAACATGGGAGTAACTTATCTAGCCTTGGAAAATACTACATAGACATTTCACAAATATGAAGTGGGAGTTTCTAAGACAGAGTATAAAACAAAATTATTTAGCTAGGAAATATGTATATGAGGTGTACTTATTGACTAAAATTGATTTTTTAATTTATTTTAGATAATAAAATTCTTATTGCATTCAAAGCTGTCATTAAGGCTGGGTGTGGTTTCACACTCTTGTAATCCCAGCACTCGGGAGGCTGAGGCAGGAAGATCATTGCAAATTCGAGGCCAGCCTGGGCTACAAAGTGAGTTCAAGGCCAGCCTGAACTGTATAGCAAGACCTTGTCACAAAAAGACAAACAAAACAAATCTGACTTTAAAACGGCTTTGGGTCCTTGTATCAAGAAGTGTTCTAAGTAAAACAACTAAAGAGAAAGAAAAATGATTGTTATGGCTTGTGTCTAGATGTCCCTCCAAAGCCTCATGAGGTCATAGATGGACATTTTCAGAGGTGGCTGGACCTAGAGTATGTGACACTGAGATTGATCTGTGGTGCAGTGTTAGGGTCCAGGGCACTAGAATCAAGGGTGTGAGAGATTCCTATCCTAAGAAGCCTGAATAAAATGTAAGGGATAGAAAGAGATGTAGTTATCCCATGCATGCTTTGCTGCTTTTTCCCCACCATGAATTTCATCTCCTCTGTGATGCCCCTCTGCCAAATCACCCTGCCTTGAGGCCAGCTGACGATGGACTGAAATCTCTACAAACTAGGACCTAAATAAGCCTTTCAACCTTTAACTTATGAGTGTCAGCCATTTTGTCCTGGCAATGAGAAAAGTTACTCAGACAATGACGTAAAGTTAGACTTGGAGAAGAAATGTTTCCAGAATTTTATATCACTAAAACTATTTAAACTATTAAATAATATTCTTGACCATGCCAAGGTTTCCAAATACGAAAGCATCAAAACCTAAATATCATGCAGCTGAAAAAGGTTGTTCCTCACATTCTCATTTTTAGACAAAATCACACCAGTCCTCTAGAATGGATACATAATTTGAGTTAAAAGAAAAAACCAAAAGGCATAAATCTAGATAATATATATAGATGAACAAGGCTTACATACTTGAGTAAAAGCAAACAATAACTAGAGTAACATAAAAGAAAAAAGTACAGAAGAGGAGAATATACAATGACTATAGTAATTGCTTTCAATTATCTTGTACTATGTTGTATTCCTTTTAAAGCTGGCTTTCTGATAATCCTTACCATAACTCTTGAGGGCAGGTGTGGATTTTCCTTGCTCTACAGGACATTCAATACATAATGGAGTCCTAGATCTGGTCACATACTTTTGAGCATATAAAGATGGATGCATTATAGGTGTCATCTCTGCTTCTTCGTAAAGTGTATCAAGTTTTAGACTGTTAATTACAAGGGATGGTTAGAAGATACAGTGAATATTTAAATTAAAGAAAACTTATTACACCAAAAGACATATAAACAAGAATGATATATTTATTGTGTTTAAAGCCAGGGGTGTGTTTTGAGGAGGTAATGACATTTTTTTTTTAATTTTGAAGAGAATAAAATAATAAAAAATTAGAAAAGGTAGCGAATTTCACTAAACAAGACGATGCCAATTCAACAATGGTTAAACATCATATTGTCTCCCTAGTGTAAGAACCTGAAAGAGTAAATGAAATAGGAAAGGTACAGTAGACACTGCGAAAGTGAAAGAAACTGCTCAGGGTGAAGGAACCACAGGGATAGAGAATGAAATATTTTCTAGTAATAAATGTTTAATTGAAGCATTCATCATATATTATGATCACCCCATGTTGACCAAACACTTATGAAAATTCCTATCAAACAAAAAATTTATGATTTATCCTCACCTACCTTATTCACTGGATCTGGCCCACTGAGAAATCTGGCTCATTTTCAAAGCCAAAATTACCACAAAAAGTACACATTTTGACTCAATTCACGCATCAGTACAGCCAGAACACTATAGCTAAAGACACTCACAGAAGAGGACTTAGGAATCTGCCTGAGAAAGTGTCAAGAACAATGAGAAAAGCGTGTTCAATGGGATTGGGAGTATTTTAAGATAAATTGATGGAAATGAGTCTTTCATTGTTATTTTTAAAAAATATAACCACTCATGGCGTTATTTGATCATAATTCATACATTGCTCCAGACTGTAAAAAATGTGATTATGGGAACAGAGATTAAAGCAAGATCTGAATGATTCTAAGGCTAGATATATATGTTTCCCCTCCAGCAGGGCACAAATTGAGGAAATCCATGCAAAATATGAAATGAGTACTATTCTACAATGAGGCATTTTAGGTAAATGGTTACACCTTAAGAACACAATATTGGGTCGGGGAAGTAGCTCAGGGACACAGCGCCTGCCTGGTCCTGAGTTGGATTCCCGGTTAAAAAAAAAAAAAAAAGTAAGGCCACAATCTTAAGTAAAATAAATCTACCGCACATATTTAAATATCATGTTTTTTATCTTGTGTAAGAAAACCAAAGTATAAATAAGCAGCAAAAGGGTGGAAAGATATTAGGAAGTAACAAGAACGTTTTCAAATGGAAACGGGAACAAGTGATGGGGAGGGGGAAAAAGGAAGGAAAGAGGCAGTTAAAGGAAATAAATAATTGAAGAGAAAAATGGAAATGAGATTCTGCCAGTGAGGAGTGGAAGAAGGGCTGAAGGGACGGGAGGGGAAGAGGACCAAAATAAAAGAATTGAGATGCATTATGTACATGTACAAGTCCTTCGGGAAAAATATGGTCATGAGGTACTGCAAAGATGTACTAAAAAATAAAAGAATTAATTGAAATGTATTCCCCCACTCCCCAACACAATTCTTCTAAACACCAAAGACTAAATTATATAAGTATGCACTCCACAGAGAGAACTATATTATGAGGATTACAAAAATTATCCAACAAATAAGCCATAATTTTGACTTTTTAATTTAATAACTGAGAGAGAGTTCGTGATAAAATTCTAATAGTATTTTACTCACTATATATCTTCATTTTGGTAAAGTAGTCCCATACATATACATTCACAGTATTTTCAGCAATTACAGTTATTCTTTCCTAGGGATAATACAAGCACAGAGCATTGTAATTAAACTTTATTAGCAGCTTTATATGCATTTAGTACTATACCCAAGGCAGGTTATGTGATTATGTACATTCTATTAGAGTGTGTGCTGGTTAGGGACAGAATCTATAGGAAATTTTGCGAAATTACTATTTAGGCTTACACAACAAGATGCAGGATAGCCAACAGTGGAAATCCTGGGGTATCTGTGAGCTGCTCAGCCTAAGAAGCTCAGAGCCACAGGACAAGAATATTCAAGGGCACATTAACAGATGGAGACCAGAGACTGAGAAGCTCTCTGGAGAGTCCATGGTATGAGCCTGTGTCAGAAGGCTAAAGAGAATGGAGGCCGGGGCTGGGGATTTAGCTCAGCGGCAAAGCGCCTCCCTGGCAAGCTCAAGGTAGTGAGTTCGGTTCCCGGTACCGGAGAAAAACCAAAAAAAAAAAAAAAAAAAAACATAAAAAAGAGAATGGAGGCCAATGTCCATAGGCAACAGCAGTAGCAGAAGCTCCATCTATTCAGTCAGCATGGAGTTTTCAAGCACAGTCCAACTTCTTCCTCTTTCACTTTTCATTACAACCTGGTTTCAAGCATATTAGATGATGTCACCCACATGCCAGGTGAGTCTTCCACCTTCGGTTGGTTTGCCTACAGGAGAATCCCCTCTGAGCCCAGTCGGGAGACACCTTCAGAAGTGTTCTTTAGTAACCTGTGAGGTTTTTCTTAATCCACTCAGGTTGACAATCATGATTAATGGCCACAATCCACGTGTTAACCACACACATCTCTTTAAACAATATATGATCTCCAAATACAAACAATAGTAAGTTCATACTTCTGCCTGAAAAGTGCAACTGTCCTGAATAAAATTGATCTACTAATTCCTTCCCCCAGTAAGAGGCAAAATATTTTTTATTTGTGTGATGCTTACTCTTTACCTGACATTCTATAACTTAAACATACAATGTAGTTTTAACAATGCTTAAGTACTAATACTAATTTAATCAATGTTATATTACATGACGGAGCCACTCAAGGAAAGAAAAGAAAACATTCTGCTTAATATATGCATACACACATGTTAGCAAAATAAGAAAGAAATATTGGTAACAGTTATAATCCTCTTTTCTGTAACCATTCGTGGAAACCGAACTCCCTTTTCCTACTATCATTTTATATTCTCTTGACCTTCAACAAACACCTCAGTGGGAAATGGGTATTAAATTCAGGATAGCCATGTGGAGGAGTGAGCCATAGCTTCACTCCTTAAGGGTCTGCACCATTTATCATCCTGTAGGGATTGGATTGTTGTAACTTCCCACTGGCATTAATAAAATGTTGTCGTAGTACAAGGAGGTGCCCAGAGGGATCTCTTGCATTCCAAACAATCTTCTCTCCAGAGTGGAATACTAGTCCAACTTCCCCTTCATATTCTGGATCAGTCACATTACCAACACGGTAACTTCTTGTTTAGCCTGTTAAATCAGATGCATGAGGTGCCCAAAATGGCTAAAGGAAGTCTTAAATTTCCATTTATTGGCAATCATTCTGCCTCCCAGCAGAAACATTCTCCCCTTTCGAACTAAAACTTCTAGGCCAACAGACCATAATATTAGGAGATCCAGAATCATCAAGTTTCTAGAGATTAGGGATAATGGAGAGTGGTACAGTTTCCATTTGTATCCCTTAATTCACAGGTGCATGAATTCTGGCTATGAAAGAAACTGATCATGTATTGGATGCTGATTCAGAGTTTATGCAGAAGCTTGCCTTTGACCTAGTTATTGCTGTAATTGCATCTTAAAGACAGAATTTCATCCTTCTATCCATCCAGTTGTTTCTGGATGGCAAAAGAAATTGGGAAAAACTAGTGAAATCCATGAGCACGGCCTCATTGCTGCAGGTTTTTGGTCATGAAGTGAGTTCCTTGGTCAGATGCAATGCTGTGTGGAATACTATGACAGTGAGTGAGGCATCCTGTAAGTCCTCAGAAAGAAAGCAAATGCCTACCCTGAATAAGCATCAATTCCAGTAATGACAATTCCTTGATGGACATGTAGGTCTCATGTATGATGGAAATTGTCCAATGTAAACAACTTGCAAACATGTACCTGGGATATTGGACGTGGGGCTCTAGGACTTAGCGTCTGCCCTACTGCATTTTCATTTTTCTTTGGTCTGATTCTTTCCTATTTCCCTGTACATCTTCTTCAGAATGGAAATATTTATCCTGCATCATTGGTATTATGGATATTTAAAATATACAATGAATATTATTTTAAAAAAATAAAACTTATTACAGTAAAATCCACATTACAAAAAATGATGGGATAAATGTGTTCAAAGTGAGGGGAGCATTTTGAAAAGAACTAATGGCAATATGTCTTTTATTATGATAAATTGTTTGATTGTAATATTCACTGCATTTTATGATCAGTTCTTGATCAAACATTTATGGTAATTTCTCTCAAATGATAGCTTGAGAGTGTGCCCTTATTGACTTTATTCACTGGATCTGGTACCTTGCACCTTTTGGTTCTTCTCCAAAGTCAAAATGACCATGAAAGATAAACATTTTGACTTAATTCAGGCAGTGTGGCAGGGGGACAGTGCAGATATGCACAGAACAGGATTTCCAAAACTGCTTCAGAAAGTGCAAGAATGAGGGGGTAATTGTGCTAAAAGAGAGGGGAATATTTTGAGGAGGATTAATATCAATGTGCTTTATACTGCAATCAGTTCAGAAGTTAAAGAATCACCCTATTTTTTATCATGGCTTATTTGTAGGAATTATGTAAGTGCCTTTTCATTTTACACAGGTTCATAGTGAAGCGTTTATCTTGTGTTTTGTGGGGGATTTTGACTTTGACCCTTGAGATACATATGCTGGAGCTGTTGAGATTTTGGAGATGATATCAGTGTGTTTTGATTCTAAGTGGAACAGTTACATCACAGCAGGTAGAATTATGACTTTTTTTGTTTATTTTGAGATTACATACAGTTTAAGGAGGTGTGCTTGGGTGAGAAGATGACAGGGAGGAGGTGACAGTCTAAGCAGAAGCATCAACTTGATTGTCTTGAGCGTGGCATAGGGGCTCAGGAAAGTACACTCCTGGATACCGTTGGGTGAGTCATAGGAGCATGACCTGGGGTACTATGTCAAGCCGAAGGGCTTTCCACTGAGGCACTCTCTCCCTGTTTTGCCTGGAATGTATACACATTCCAGAGTTCAATGAATAAAACTGCCACCAAAGAGTGATGTGTTTTTCATTTGTAAGAACAGTTATCCCTAGTTGATTAATGCAAAACAGAGAATAGTGGCTCCTTTTCAGATGACTGGGGCAACTTATACATCTAAAGGTGCAATATTGTCATGTTCTTGGAATCTGTATCTGTGGCCCTCAGCCCTCTTTTCCACATTTTCTTTACTACTCCTGGATTGCTACTGTTATTTCTGTGAAGGATTTGGAAAACATCAAATGAAACATTTTCTTCCTAAAACAAGAATCATAGCTTTGTTTCCTATTTTAGACTTCATTCATCATGAAGATAAAGCTATAGGTGAAGTATAATGTGACTGAGTTTTGCCCTGAAGAATAATTAGTATTAATGATTTGCATTACAGTTCTTTCAGTAGGTATAAAGTTATGTCCGTGAAACAATACAGTGTGCTTTGTTCATTTACTATTACCTTCTATATTGGAGGGTAAAATTATTAGGTAGAAAAAGGCTAAATAATTTGTATCATACATGGAGATTTCCCACTTCTGGGAAACTTCTTTTCTGAGTCTAATTCATCATTGTAAGAAAATATAAAATAATTTTCACAAGAAATCACTAATGTTACTTGTGTCAGCTGCTGCTATTTGCAGGGTGCCCAAGTTTTGGAGTCCAGTGATTGGTACTCTGTCATATAATTAGTTTATAGCCATTTAAAAAGTTACATTACAGATTGTACAGTTCCACCTTGGCACTATAAATAAATATATACACATTAATTCTAGCCATGGCAGCCCAGCTTATTTTGTATATTGCATACAAATGAGGCCAAATATCATCTCAGAGAAATGTGATTTTTAAACTGGCTAAGCATGAGAAACTGACATTGGAAATAAGTAGCTTTTATGTCAAAGATATCAACTTGTATTTTTTGAGTTCTTTGCTAAAATTCCTTATACAGATGGCTTTGGTTTTTTAGATATTTGTGAATTTAGTAGATAAATATTCCTCCTTAAAATTTTTCTTGAATGTTATTCTATGATTTACCTTATCTAAATTTTTAAGCAAGTGTGACTACTAATTTTTTCTTACAAGGAGTACTTATCTTATTTTGTATTTAATTGTATCATCACACTACTCAATTCAACCATAACCTTATTATTCATTTCTAGAGCAATTTACTTTTTCATTTCTAATATATCAGTTTGTGGAAATATAAAAGTGATGTAGCACTAAATTTCAGTATAAGCTATTTTAATGCATGTAATAATTGTTACACTGGCACTGTACACTGGATTTAATGCAAATATGAAAAAATACAATACACAAATTGATATAAAGTAATGAAATCCCTTGGTGGAGATTTGAAGTACATGGTGGTACAATGATACCCATCTTTAATTGGTTCCAGGAAGAATAATGCATACGTAAATTCACAAGTGAAAAATAAATAGATATCGATGACAAGGTAAATTCTAGCCTGTGGATTTAATACCAAATGGTGAGTACCATCCTTCACGAACTAAACAGTTTTGCTGCATCATGCACATAATGGTTCTGTTTTGGAACCTCCCAACCATGTACTGAATCTTCTGAAATCGTTAGCTAAATTGAACATTTCTTTCTTTAAACTGTGGATGTCAGGTATTGTGCCTCAATGATTAGCAAGGTAACTGATACAGAAAAATTGACACCTTAGAAATAAGGGCATTGCTGTGAATGTATCTGATCATGTGGCTTATAGGCCTTTGAAACTGGTTTACCAGAAGAGCT